GGTATATTATTTAATTCAAGAAAATTAGAATTTTCGTCAATTTCGGATTTTAAAAAATTCATAACAATTAAAGGGTTAAAGATACGATAATTAGCGTAAGGACTTTTTTTATTCGAACTATCCTAAAAAATATAAAAATAATTAATTCATTGCAAAAAATGCATTTTTTCTGGCTTAATTAATTTTTCGTTGTTTAAACAATAACATCAACAAATATCGAGTGTCATCTTACACTTTTATAAACAGGAAAGCCTTCCGGACATTAAAAAAAAATTACGAATTAAAACAATTTTGCAAACGAATGCGACAGTATGCTCTGGTCTATATTAGTTAATACAAATTGGTCTTTAGACTAGTTGGTTGTTACAATATCGCTTAAATAACAAAAACAATAAAATCTACAAATAAATAAAAAAAATTTGGTTATAATTATTCTGAATTAAGATAAAAAAATATTTAATTTATTTAGTGCCTTAGTGGATATTGTCCTCTGATAATTACTATAACGTTTTCTCAGTGGTCACCCTGTATAAATAATTTATGAGGCAACGAATATAATATTTGGATATTTTATTTCATACCTACTCGAACCATTTCATTGACATTTTCCCAGCCTACGCTGTTAATCAAGTCGGTAAAAAATGGACGTTCGTTTCCAGTTTCGATAGAAGAAAAAAAAGCCAACAAACCCAAAGCAGCAACGATTGAAATAAACAAGTGACTTCATCTGCACGGCTTCATAAATGTCAGTTATTCATACTTAAAAGTTACATACTCGATGCTTGGACTAACTAGAGAGTTATTTAAGTTATTTGAGTACAAACTACTTAAATTGTAGAATAAATCTAATACTTTATGATATATAAATGTTATGTTAAGGAATATTAGCATAATACGTATGGAAATTGGACAGGAGCTGATGATTTTTGTTACAGAAATTGCGCTCTGGCAATCTTTAATACAACAGACAAATTATCGCGTTTGGTTTCAATTCGTGCAGTTTTATCTAGGGCACATTTATACATGGCGGGTCACTGATAACGCCTCGGTCTATAGAACTTAAACTATTTTTTTTAAATGAATATAAATTCTTTTAAATAATTTTTTAAAATTTTAATTTATCATTTTACTATTTATTTAATATCCCACGACAATGCACTGTATTCGATTTATTTGGGATTATAAAAGGGTCGCCTATTGTTACACATAGTCGGTATACTATGAGTGGCACTAATAAAGTAAAATTTACATTATTAGTTTATGGTAAAAGCATTAAAGCTTCTAAATTATACGATTTGTTTCTTTGAGCCACTTGTGCTGTCGTTTGCATACAAAATTGGGTGTTATTTTTATCGCCTGATAGTGTATAGAGTATAGAAACTCTATTAGGTAATTATTTGAAGTATCTTCCAAAACTGATTTGTGTTTTAATCAGTGTATGAAGACTAGAGAGAAGGAGGCGAATCGGCAAATAGTCACATTTCAAAATTCTGTTCTTCTTTTTATAAAGTTCGCCAAATTGACTGTAGATGGCAGGTCGAACGTCATTGTCGTTGATTTTCTATGCAATTCAATGTAAAATCAAGTGATTATTTAAAAAATTGGTGAAAGAATCAAAATAATATGAAAAAAAGTACCTAAGTGACAAAAAACATCAAACCAAGATTTACTTCGTTCCAGATTTTAAAACAGAATGTAAATCAGATGTAAAACTAAAGAAAACACAAGGAGAAATCAATTTAATATCTTTTCAGAGCTTCTAAGTAAGTAAATAATGTATTTATCTCTAAACATATTATTTATTGTAAACAAGTCACAACACGTATCTTAGGGAGTGTAGTTTATTTTATTACAAGTTTCTATATTATAAAATTTTACATTCATAAATCGTGACTTACAAACAACAATAATTAAACATTAAATTTAACTTTCTTAAAAAGAAAATTTGTTTTTTATAGAGTTTTAATGTCAGATAAAGAGTTGCTAAGTAACCAAGTTATTGTTTTTTATTTTTATCTTAAAAAAAAAATTTGGTGAAAACGTTTTATATCCCAAACACACTGTTTTTTTTTTTGTTTTAAAATATTTATTTTCTCATCTTATTTTGACTTAATATCGAAAAAGCATCCTAATTTTCAATCAGAAATTTTTTATCAAACTATCTGCTTTTTTAAAAAAGTCGGTGGCCCATTTGTTCATTGAAATCTCTACTTTCTGATAGTGTAAAAAATATATATACATTACTATAGTAAATGTTCTCATATTTTTTCGTTACGGAAAAGTGTTAAGAGAAAAAGTTTGTTTATTATAAACAAGAACTATTATATTTGTAAATTCCAAATATTATCCATATCTCAAAGTGGTCCGAAGTAGATTAAAGGGAAGTAAAAGGCTCAAAGTCTGTCGACCACATAAATTTATTAGGTTGGATTGCAAGCGCTTTCGACCTAAAAGGTCATCATCAGGCAAAACATTTTTTGTAAGTGAGTAGGTAGGTAGGTACAATCTGCAATAATAATTTAGGATAACAAAACGTTTTTATAGAAATGCTAGGTGTCTTACCACTATGTGTCCACAGAAAAAATTAAGTATGTTGAATTAAAAATTTTTAAATTGTAAAAATTGTTGTAAAAAATTGTAAAAATTGACACGTACTGCCTTCCTCATTCGAGGTTGGATACTGTTAAATCTTGAACCTCGCCTGCCTCCATCTAATGAAGGTGGTTTCGAAAGAGATCAATTTTAAAGTGGTCGTAAATTCTCCACCATTTTCTCATTTAACTTCACCGTTGAATGACGAAAGTGCCAAGTAAAGTCAAGTTAATAATTAATGATACCCCTTAAGCCTAGGCTTAAGGGTGTACACAAACCGAACTCCGTCTACCCCATTTGTACTGGGGATAGGGGGAGTAGCGCTATTTCCCCAAAAGTAACACTTTCCACATGGTGCCTTAAGCACACATGTGGAACTTTAAAATTGATCTCTTTCGAAACCACCTTCATTAGATGGAGGCAGGCGAGGTTCAAGATTGAACAGTATCCAACCTCGAATGAGAGAGGCAGTACGTTCCAATTTTTACAATTTTTTACAACAATTTTTACAATTTAAATTTTTTTAATTCAACATACTTAATTTTTTCTGTGGACACATAGTGGTAAGACACCTAGCATTTCTATAAAAACGTTTTGTTATCCTAAATTATTATTGCAGAATGTATCTACCTACCTACTCATTTACAAAAATTTTTTGCCTGATGATGACCTTTTAGGTCGAAAACGCTTGCAACCCAACCTAATAAATTTATGTGGTCGAAAGACTTTGAGCCTTTTACTTCCCTTTATTATATTTGTACTTTGGAAATGATCAGTTTTTAATTTATTGATATATGTATTTTTGGTTTTTATTAAAATAGATGCATAATAGACTTAAAAAGTTCTTATTTATTAATATTTGCTCAGTTTAATCATTGGAAATATGAAATACGCTATTCGGTGTTAAAATTATTTGTTTTTTATTTAATACAAAACAAATACATTTATTGAGCTGCCTCGATCGATCTAATTAAATGTACAAAAAATAAAAAGTACACAAGATAAAAACAAAATAAAAACATTATTAACTTTAACAAGAAAGAAATACAAATATTTTATTAGAGTATATTTAAATAATTATTACAAAATATGAAAGTTGGGAGAATAATTTTGATCCTCGTCGACGTCGTCGCATCGTGAGCTTAGGTGTTCACATGTTTCTACAAACTTTTTTATTGTTCTGTTGACTTTCATATTTCAAATTAATTATTTAAACATCGATTGTTTTTGATTAATTGATTAATTTTAAGTTTTCTATTATTTTCAGTTATTTAATTATTTTCGATTAATCGAATATTCTTTATACTTTTTCTGTTCTACTAACTTTTTATAAAACTAAGGGTTGATCAGATTAAATCAAATATTGGTTCATTAGATCGTACCCATACATTTACTGGGAAACCGCGAAAATGACAATAATATTTTTAACATAAATACAGATCTGTGAGCTTAGGCGTACTCATATTTCTACAAACTTTCAAAATAAAAGTTAGAAAAAAAGTGAAATATTTAAGAATTATTATTTGTACTTTTCTTATGGTAAGATTCTCATATTTTCTATTATTTCAAAAGTTGTAAAACAAACGTTACTTCTAATATTCTCTATAATTTTTGCTTCATACAAAATTTTCCTGAAATGGTCCGTATTCGAGAAATTTGACAAAATGTGCAAAATTCTGATTTTTAATAAAATTGTTAAACTAAAAGTTGTTTGCGATATCGACATCTGTAATTTTTGTTTTTTACTTGATTTCTCTAAACTTTAACAGAAGTGATGCAATAGGTTATACAAAATAACCGGAAAAACTTGTAATAACTAGATAGGAAAGTCATGTGTTGGACACATCAGATTTTTTCAGTAAAAAAATTGATTATTAAATTCTAATTACATTTATCTCATACTATATAAATATACATGTAAATCGTACTATTGAATTTAGATACTTTATACTGATTACATTATTCATTATATTATTATTTTTTTTTTTATTTATAAATACCTTAACTTGAATTATAATCACTTATCCATTAGTTTTTGTCTCTTTGATGGCATTTCTTCATCGTTATATTCGACAAACCTTCCCGATTCTAGTAGATCTTCAAAATCTTCAAGACTATCACCGTCTTCGTCTTATTAATCACCGTCTTCGTCTTATTATTTCCTGTCTGCATTGGTTGTTAATCCACAATTTCATCTGAATCATTAACTTCCTCGTAGGTTTTTTCTTCCACATTGGAGCATTTTTTAGGACGATTTGGGGGTATTGAATCCAATAGAAAATAAAAATATTTATCAGCAACATGTTCCAGCTGCTGTGAGCTACTACCTCAAATGTTCATATGATGACACTATTTCCTTTTATCGATCATACAGAGGATCTGATTGTATGTAGTGGTTTACTGATGAAATGAAAAAACTGGCTGAGGATTTGGAAACTCTCTTTAGGTGCCCTTTCGACATAGATATCTCTGCAAAGCAGGCATATAATTTTCAAAAATCTACACATTGTCATATATGTGAACAACCGTTCGAGCCTGAAGATAAGAAAGTTAGAGATCATTTTCATCTCCTCCCTTACAACAACAACTATAGAGGTCCATCCCATGAGGGATGTAACATAAATTATCAGAATAGTCAAGTGGTTCCTGTAGTCTTTCACAATTTGTCCGGTCGAATTGATTTACTTCCTATCACCAAAGAGAAGTATATTTCATTCACCAAACATATCGAAGATTATCCCATTCATTTTCGATTTATTGATAGTTTTCGTTTCATGAACTCTCGTTTAAGCACATTAGCATCATATCTAGAAAATTTTCCCAATTTAAGATCTCAGTTTGCTAAATTATCTGAAGATCATTACAAATTATTAACAAAGAAAGGAATCATGCCATATGACTACTTCGATCCATTTGAACGATTTAATGAAACATGTTTACCTCCAATTGATGCATTCTATAATATATTAGAAAACAAGCCATGTTCACGTAGAAAGTACCTTCGTGCCCAGGATATTTGAAGCAAGTTTTTGTGTCGTGACCTTGGTGATTACGTAGACTTATACATGAAAATGGATATTTTGCTTTTAGCTGACGTTTTTGAGCAATTTAGATCAAGTTCTCATAAAAGTTATGGTTTAGATCCAGCATATTATTATACCCTACCTGGATACACTTGGGATGCTATGTTAAGACAAACTGGTTAAAAACTGGAATTGCTAACTGATCAAGATATGTTTCTCTTTATTGAAAAGGGAATACGTGGAGGTTTAAGTCAGGTCTGCTCAAAAAGAAGAGCCCATGCAAACAACAAGTACTTACCCCACTATGATATGTCAAAGCCGTCCAAATATTTGATGTACTATGATGTTAATAATCAGTATGGATGGGCGATGTCGCAATATCTACCTTATGGAGTGTTTAAATGGGTGCATACTAATATTGACATTATGTCTATACATGACCATTCCCTGAAGGGTATATTTTAGAAGTTGACTTAGAATATCCAAAAGAACTTCACAACGTTCATCAGGATTTAGCCTTTTTACCCGAACACCTTAATCCTGCAACTTTGAGACCTTGTACAAAGAAATCTAAATTAATGACAACATTACAAAACAAAGAAAAATATGTGATCAACTATAGAAATTTAAAACTGGCGATAAAATATGGATTAAAGCTAACAAAAGTTTTAAAATTTAACCAGTCCCCTTGGTTAAAGACTTATATAAAACTTATATAAACTTATGAATAACGCCATCTTTGGAAAAAGTATTGAAAGTGTGAGGAAATATCTTAATGTAAAATTAATTCAGCAATGGCGGGGGCGTTATGGTGCCGAAGCAATGATATCAAAACCTGATTTTAAATCATGTACAATATTCAATGAAAATTTAGTAGCCATAGAATTACACAAACTGGAGATTTTTTTGAACAAACCTATTTATATTGGAATGAGCATTTTGGATTTGGCTAAGATAACTATTTATGACTTCCATTATGGGTACATGAAAAGTGAATTTGGAAATAACTGTTTCATTTTATACACAGATACGGACAGTCTAATCTATGAAATTCGAGATCATGATCCATATGAAATTATAAAACGTGGTTTTACGAATTATTTTGATAGTGCAGACTATTCACTAAACAACGTTAACGGAATTCCTCAAGTTACAAAAAAAGCACTAGGTATGATGAAAGATGAGAATAATGGTATACCAATGACTGATTTTATTGGTCTTCGTTCGAAATTATGTACTGTAAAAATTGTTAAAACTGAAGATACTATTGTAAGGGAGTCTTAAAACTGAAGAAGAATATGACTCTGATGAAATTGAAAATATTTTATTAAATGTTGAATTAATTAAGAAAGCAAAAGGCTTGAAAAAATCTATAGTTAATACCATAATAACTTTTGAAGATTATGTAAACTGGAGACATTTACAAATAAGATTGTTTCGCAGAATTTAATTCGTTCAGATAAACATCAAGTTTATTCAATTGCCCCTACGATGATAAACGCTACTTGATACCTGAATCTTACAATACCTTACCATGGGGACACTACAGCTTACCAGACGTTCCAATTGGATTTAATTAAATACTTTGTAATAACACGATTTTATGAAAAAATTAAACTACTTTTAATTATGTATGAGAAAAAAAATAAATGATTTAAAACACATATGTAATTTAAATATAAAAAATAAAGTAAAAAAGGTGAGGGGTATTTTTCTAGTCCCCTCCTGATAGTTTAAAATTAATATAAATTTTAATAATGGGTAAATTGTTCTAGTACGCCCCTGGAATTTTGATATCAAAAATTACCACGTTGGACCTTGGCGATTTCTTATGGGAATTAACATGGGGAATGAGGCCGAATCGGTGCTGCTTTACTACTCATGACAATTTGAGCATAAACTTGTGCATTTTAAACCATGTTTTTGGCAACCATATTTTAAACTGTTACATCCAGTTTCACAGCTGCAGCAAATAGTTTTGAGCAATATTTCCGGAATTAATTCATTTTCTGTAAATTTGGGCCTAATGTCACGTTGATGTTGCTTCCAGCCCTGTTATTTCTGTTCCAGCCCCAATCTGTTGCTGTCAGTTCGTTACCCAGACAAGTTTGAAGCTGATAATATGCCCTGTTACAATGTTGTTCTGCTGCACCTTCTGTGGGTGGGAGATTTGCCAATATGAAAGATGATTTAATTTTTGCCAATTGATATTTTCGAAATCTTAATTGATTCAGTGTTATATTATCATTTTTACATTTATAAATAGATTTAATTAATTGTAATTAATTTTTTTCGATATATTCTTTGTTTGCATCTTTTCTATAAAAAATATTGGTCAAATTTGACAAATTTTTATCGTCTAATAATGAATTTACGATACCTTTCTTTCCTTTTCCGGCAAATCCAGATGTTGTACGCAACCAGAAAAACAATGCAGACATGTATCGATATTTTTGAAGGATTCATAGTTGAATCTATTAGAAGTGAAAAATAGATGTTTTACATTCCCAGAACTTGGCTTAAGAAAATAAATGTCATAATTATTTGAATTTAATTGATTTAAAAGGACCAAAAGATCAATATCTTGGCCCATAACAATGACAGTTTTATTAGTATCTCTGGCAATTATATTATATCAGGGGCGGCTCGTGGCCAAAATTTTGGGGGTTCATAGTAGCAGAATATAGATCCCGGTACAGTGTTTTAGAAAGGTATATTATAAACTTTCTGAAACACTGAAAGTTTTTTTCATAAATCTGTACTGATTTCTATATTCTACCACTGTGAACCCCCAAAATTTTGGCCGGAAATCAAGATAAACCCTTTTTTACCCTTAAAAACTCACCCCTTCCACTACCCGACCTCAGATCGCCGAAAATTATTTTTCCTTTCATTTTTGTTATATTCTCTTCCTTTTCCACTGGGTTTCAACCTACTATTATTTTTTTTTGTTTCAAAAATTATCGACCCTGTATTATGAGATTCTTTTTACTGATGGTACTGTTAGCAAAATAAAAAGAGGAAAGACGAAATTAAATAATGAGGCAATATCATGTATATTCACAAATCTCCCTTTAGATATTATAATAATAAAAAAAAAATTAACTGTGTTTTGTTTTGCACTTAAAACTATATTTAGGTATGATTCAAAAAAATTTAGGCACAAAATTGTACTTCATCATTTTATAAACCTTTTCTAATTTGGTCATACATACCTAATTTGCATTTGATATAGATAAAATTAAATAATTTATCAATTAAAACATGCGAGACTTATTTAGAAATAAATACAACAGTATATTCTCTGCTTTATTTGTCAATAAACAAGTTTATTTTTTTTATTTTGACAAAATTATGTAAAATTCTCATGTATTTTGAACAGCGCCTAGCAACACCAGCACCCTTGCGGTGAATTAAAAAAGCTCAATTAGCGTTCGTTTTTTGGGACCGTATTTCGAGTATGCTTATTCGCATTCTTATCTCTAGTCTTCATAAATTAGTGGGTTACTCGTAAAAAACACAGATGACACTGATATCGGCTAATAATTCGACATTATTTCCAAATTTTCTCTTTCTAAAATGAGAGAAATCATTAAAGTTTTTAATTTAGATGGCAAGATTTCCTCTTCAAATGATATGTTAATGATGTGAGCCAGAAGATATATTATAAACATGGAAACGAGGCGCATGCGCTTAAAAAATGCCAACGTTATTCCTAGTACTGTCGTTGTTATTCCAGGTAATACCAATAATGCCAATAGCCCAATCGGATTAGGTGAAGAACAGGCTTGAGATTCTGAAAAATTCGAAGCAGCAATTTTCCTTCGGAATTCGTTGAAGGGGGTCTCTAGTAGTCTAAATTCAAAAAGTTGGGATTCCAAAGTTGTCGTTACCTCCGCCATCTTGATTTAAAGGGTTATTTTTTGTATCTTGAATAACTCATTTATTTTCAATTTTACACGAAAAATAGTTTTTACAAAAGTTATTTAAAATTAAATTTCCTACAATTCTGCTTTTTTTTGTACGATCGATTTTTTTCGATTTATACCCGAAAAGAGGGGGTGAATTTTTGGTTATAGAATAACTCGTTTATTTTCAATTTTACGAGAAAAATTGTTATAGACAAAGTTGTTTAAAATTAAATTTCCTACAATTCTGCTTTTTTTTTTGTACGATCGATTTTTTTCGATTTATACCCGAAAAGAGGGGATGAATTTTTGGTTATAGAATAACTCGTTTATTTTCAATTTTACGAGAAAAATTGTTATAGACAAAGTTGTTTAAAATTAAATTTCCTACAATTCTGTTTTTTTTTTGTACGCTCGATTTTTTTGTATTTATCCCTGAGAAGAGTGGGGGTAAACTCTTATCATAATTGTACCAAATAACATTTTTGAAAATCAGCAAAAAAAAACAAACAGAAAAAATAATGGTACAACATCAATAATAAACGTGACAATACAATACTTAGGTTCACCCCCACTCTTCTCAGGGATAAATACAAAAAAATCGATCGTACAAAAAAAAAAACAGAATTGTAGGAAATTTAATTTTAAACAACCTTGTTTATAACAATTTTTCTCGTAAAATTGAAAATAAACGAGTTATTCTATAACCAAAAATTCACCCCCTCTTTTCGGGTATAAATCGAAAAAAATCGATCGTACAAAAAAAAGCAGAATTGTAGGAAATTTAATTTTAAATAACTTTTGTAAAAACTATTTTCCGTGTAAAATTGAAAATAAATGAGTTATTCAAGATACAAAAAATAACCCTTTAAATCAAGATGGCGGAGGTAACGACAACTTTGGAATCCCAACTTTTTGAATTTAGACTACCAGAGACCCCCTCCAACGAATTCCGAAGGAAAATTGCTGCTTCGAATTTTTCAGAATCTAAAATACTAATCCGATTGGGCTACAAGTAATTCCGTTGCAATGCCAAGTAATTCGGTCATAATTCCAATACTGCATAAAACATACATTAGTATTCAGGAT